TTTAGTTAAAATTACAGACTCTAGACTTTATAACAATTTCATTATGGTGAAAAGATCTTTTCCATTTACCCTCTGTGATTCAGACACCAGTTTCTTTGGCAATGCTAAATGCTGGTTTCCGGGGACATAATTTTGTTAGGATAAATGTTTTAGGACCTTGAGATTGGCTTCTTTTCTAAAGTCAGTAAGTCTAGGGCCCATGCTATGATACTCTGACATGTCCTATTAACTCTCTGGATTCTTTTAAATAGTGGTTTAGTCTGCTCAGGCTGCTATAACAAAAATACCATAGACAGGGTGGCTTAAAAACAACAGAAATTTACTTCTTACCGTTCTGGAAGCTGGGGCGTCCACAATCAAGGTGCCAGCAGATTTAGTGTCAGGTGAGGGCCTGCTTCCTGGTTCTTAGACGTGTCCCCACATGGCAGAAGAGGTAAAGGAGCTCCCTGGGGTCTCTTTTATAAGGGCAAAATCCCCTATGAGGAATTGTGTGTTGGATTTGACATAGATGAAGATGCATTGAAAATATTTAATAGGAATGTAGAAGAGTTTGAGTTAACAGATGTTGACATGGTTCAGTGTGATGTGTGCTCATTATCTAACAGAATGTCTAGGTCACTTGATACAGTAATTAGGAATCCTCCCTTTGGGACCAAAAATAATAAAGGGATAGATATGGCCTTTCTGAAGACTGCTTTGGAAATGGCAAGAACAGCAGTATATTCTTTACACAAATCCTCAACTAGAGAACATATTCAAAAGAAAGCTACAGAATGGAAAATCAAGATAGATATTATTGCAGAGCTACGATATGGCCTGAGAGCATCATACAAGTTTCATAAAAGAAAATCAGTGGACATTGAAGTGAACCTAATTCAGTTTTCTTTTTAAAAGCCTCCAAAGACAAAAGCAGCTTAAAATCTAATTAAAATGAATAAAAAATATGTTTACTAAAAACAAAACAAAAAAAACCTGCGGCCTCAGCCGTCTTCTGCCCTCATGACCTAATCACCACCCAAAGACCCTCACCTCCTAATACCATCACATTGGGGATTAGGTTTCAACATATGAATTTGGAGGGGACACAAACATTCAGTATATAGCAAATAGTAAGGTACATCATCTATGAGTTTGCCTTGGGATAATTTGAGCATGAAAAATAATATTACTAGTAATAAACGATAACACATTAAAAGAATTTATGAGATAATTATTCTCAAAGGAAAAAAAAGAGCAGTCAAAATCTCTTATTTACAGAAGACAACAAATAATAAATGTAGAAGGAATGTTGACATTAGGAAATCACCACTTTGCAATCCCATGGTAACAATTGATTCAGGCAAGGATCGCCCATGGATGTTAAAATTACTGGGTAAGAGGTTGCTAGGCAACAAGAGGTCCACAGGGTCTCAGTGCATCACCACCCACAGTACAAAAGGGGAAATGTACCTTTACAACGGAGAGATCTGGCAGCGCCAGTCTTCAGTAAGCGATCAAATGTGGCATCACTAGTAGTGGGGGACACTGACCCTCCGTGATCTTTAATTTGGTGCAGTGGGAAGTCCAGTCTCACCTTCAGAGTGCTCTTATCAAAGAAGCTAACCCAGAACCTATGTGAGGAGACAAATTCAGAATGTAGGCCATTCTGAGAGAGATTCCCCAAAACTGTCAATGTCACCAAAGATGAAAACAAAAGAGCAGTGTGACAAAGGGAGACTGAAAAGACACACCTAATAGGAACCTTGATTGGATTCTTGATCAAAAAAAAAAAAAAGCCATAGGAGAAATTAGGGAAAATTTAATATGGACTATATATTATTGATAATATTGAATCAATAACCTGATATTACTATATAAATATTTTTGAAAATATTCAAAATACTTTCAGATGATTCAGTAAATATTTTTTAAATTCTGTGTGTGTGTGTGTGTGTGTGTGTGTGTGTGTGTGTGTGTGAGAGAGAGAGAGAGAGAGAGAGAGAGAGAGAGAGAGAGAACAAATTTGGCAAAAAATTGGTGAATGCAAGGAAGGGCATGGCAGTGTTCATTGTACTATCCTCTCTTCCAACTTTTCTGAGATTTGAAAACTTTTAAAATAAAGCACCAGGTAGGGGAGAAGCACCTCAGACACTTGGCATTGAATTGATAGGTGCCCTGAGATGCTGATAGAACTTCACCCAGCCCTGTGAGCCACCCTCTCCACTACATGTATTGTGAGAATCCTGCTTGGCTCAGGCACTGAGACACCCCGGCCAAGGATAGAGCCACACAGGACATTGAGGATGATGACTGGGGTTTTTAACTTAAAATATTTTACTTTAAGTTCCTTGGGAATTTAATTTTTGAGCTGTCATTCTTCCCTGGGGATTTCCTAATGGAATGGAGTTTGTTCTCAACATCAGAGTATCTTTGTGTTGGCGCATTATGATTGGAGAAGTAAATGATGTCATCAGACCTCAACGCAGAACCTCTAATAGACGGTTAGGAAATACGGATGAAATAACTAGGGGCGGATAATAGAACAGAGAGGAAACTCTCAGCTTCAAGTACACTGTGAGCTGGAGTGGACTCTAGTTAGTCCACTGTTCTGACCCATTTCAGAGCTCTCTACAATACCTGAGCTGCTCAGCTCTGCTCCCAGAAGACTGCACAGAGGAGGAATATTTGGTTTGGGGATGCAGCCTCACATAGATGGGATCAGTAGATATTCTTTCTGCTGCCCACACCCATGATCGACCACAGGTTTAATGGATAAGCACAGTGAGCTGCACAAAAATCTAGGGAGCATTAGAATTTTCCCTAAACACCGCTTATTCTTCCCCAATTAGTGGATAATGGCTGTTTGTTCACATCTTCACTGGTGAATCTATTCTATCCAAGTTAGAGACATGGGGATTTGTTCCCTTTCTCCTTCCTCTTTACTCAGGACCAGTATAAGCCTGAAATCTACATAAGTGTGTCTTCTCTGAAGACTGAAACTTTCCCTCAGGTGGGTTGTCTCAAGTTCCAGCCTGGAGAGGGGTAGTTAGCCAGCGCATTTGGTTCTCACAACTCAGCTTTATTAATAATTACATCAGGATTCTCCAGATAAACAGAACCAAGAGATGACCTATCTATCTATCTATAAGAAAGATTTATTTATTATAAGGAATTGGCTCATGTGATTATGGAGGCTGACAAGTCCCCAGATTTGCATTTGGAAAACTGGTGACCCAGAAGAGCTGATGGTGTAATTCCAGTCCAAATGCCAGCAGGTTAGAGACCTGGGAAGAGCCAAGATTTCAATTTGAGTCCAAGAAAGGAAGAAAACCGATGTCCTTGCTTGAAGCTAGTCAAGCAGGAGAAATTGTCTCTCACTTGGAAGAGGGTCAGCCTTTTTTTTTTTGATCAGGCCTTCAACTGATTGGATGAGGCCCACCTACATTAAGGAAGGCAATCTGCTTTACTCAGTCTATCAATTCAAATGTTAATCTCATCCAAAAACAGCCCCACAGATATACCCAGACTAATGTTTGTACAAATGTCTGGACACCCTATGGCCCAATCAAGTTGACGTATAAAATTTATCATCATAATCATAAAGGTGGTCAGCTGGCTCCAACATATCTTTTGATTTGTTTCTCAATTGGTTCAGAACTCTGACAGGGAAGAGTGGTGTTATTTGGGGGGGTGTCCTCAAAGAGGAGAGGTACCTGTCTAGCCTCCCTCACTTTGGTAGTTAAAAGAATGTCAAACATTTCAAGGGCACACCTGTTTTCTCTTTCTGTCTTGTCCTTTGTTCCTCCTCAAGGTCTGTCTTTCTCTTTGACATCTGGCTGGCCTGCACAAAATCTCCAGATTTAACACTTTCTACGTCAACTAGCCAACCTTGTTGTTTTTCCCCTCTTGCAATCTCCTCTGATCAATACAGCCCACTCATCAGAGACCTAACTCATAAGAAAAGCTACTATTTATTGAAGAATTAATAAACATAAGGCAGCATGCTAGGCATTATGCTAGATATGGAAGCAACCTAGATGTCCATCAACAGGTGAATGGATAAAGAAGATGTGATATATATATATACAATGGAATACTAGTCAGCCATAAAAAAGAATGAAATAATGCCATTTTACAGCAACATGGATGGACCTAGAGATTATCATACTAAGTGAAGAAAGTCAGACAAAGACAAATATCATGTGATATCACTTATATGTGGAATCTAAAAAAATGATACAAATGAACTTATTTACAAAATAGAAACAGATGCACAGACATAGAAAAGAAACTCCTGATTACCAAATACAAATATCATATCACTTATATGTGGAATCTAAAAAAATGATACAAATGAACTTATTTACAAAATAGAAACAGATGCACAGACATAGAAAAGAAACTCCTGATTACCAAATGGGAAAGGGGGAGAGGGATAAATTAGGAGTTTGGGATTAACATATACATGTAACTATATATAACATAGATAACCAACAAGGACTTATTGTATATCACAGGAAACTATACTCAATACTTGGTAATAAACTATAAGGGAAAACAATCTGAAAAAGAATATATATGTATAACTGAATATATATATTATATAATGTGCATATAACTGAATCACTTTGCTGTACACCTGAAACTAACACAACTTTGTAAATCAAATATACTTCAATTTAAAAATTCTTTATAGAAATAGATAAATAAATTTTAGCCATAACAAGAAAAGAGCACACATTAGTAAGTTGGAGCTAGCGTCAAAGTCCATGGTCTTAGCCTCTTCACCCAGTGTCCTTGCAGGGTTTCATGGGTCACTAGTCCTGTTTGCAGAGACATTTGTGAAGAAGCAGAGAGCAGATGAGAGCTGAAGTCAGAGGCCTGGCTCCTGTATGGCCCTACCGCCCACTATCCAGCCTCTCCAAGCTCTGCTCACCTCACCTGTAAAAGAGGAAAATAATATCAGCTGCTTGCCTGGAGTACTTATTGAAAGAGATAATGTTTGTATAAACCCTGTGCAGGTGTTCTCAGAGCAGGTGGCGAGGTACTTGCATTCACTGCAAAGTTTGCATTGGCGTCTGCCTTTATTGGTCCCTACTCCATCATTACAGTGAAGCAGCTGCTGAACTGCCAGAAAGATACTCCAGAAGAAAATGGTGGAAAATAACTTGTTAACCTTTTTAATGTGAAAGGAATGGGATAATTAGGTGGGAGGTGTGAGAATACATATATTAGCATTTCAGGGAATGACCTATGTAATCTGGGTTTTATCTGGTCATTTAGCAGAGAAATAAAAGCAAACGGGTGATTTTGCTAGACGTACACTCCCAGGTCTCTTGTTGACAAAAGATCATGGCGTTTGCTCACAAGAGGGCTTTGAATAAATTCTAATTCCTTGGGCCAGAGCTCAGCACATCCTGTAGCTCTAGGTTTTCTGGTACCAGGCTGCTTAAGAGATCAAGGGCTGGGGCTGGGGGTGGGGATGAAAGAGAGAAAATGAGAGTGCTTAAGCTGATGGGTACTTCAGGGCTGTTTCTCCATGCTCCAGCCCTCCGCCTCCCTTCCTGCCTGACCATCGCCATTCTCATCCAGATCTCTTCTATGCTTATTCCACACCTCTGAACTCACATGTCCACCTGCGTCTCCAAGTGGAGAACCACAGTGCAAACCTGATGGATAAGTCTGGTCCAGAGCTGGCCATGTGGCCATGTCAGTGAGAAGGGGTGGAAATTAGAAGAAGAGATGAAAGAGTAAGGTTGAGAGGATGGTGTCCCTCACTTACCCTCCTTCCACTGGTCCAGGCTGCTCTCTCTCAGTCAAGGACACTACATTGCCTTGGCAAAAATAGAATACGTTCTGTGGGGGAGGGGAAAGAGGTTCTGTGACCATAACCATGGAGTAATAGGGGTATAGGGAGGGTCAGGGAATGGCTCAGAGGGACCCAGCAGGACCAGGGATCCTAGGGCTGTGACTCAGGCTTTGAGGGATGGGAGAGACCAGGGGGAGGTCAGTCATCTAATTATCAAATCTTATTATTAGAGGAGAACTTGAAGGTCATCCACTATTAATGCTTTTCTCATGCTTGGGTCCCTCTGCATTATCCTTCGTGAGCCATCATCCAGCCTATGCTGGAATAGCTCCAGGGAACTCAGCACCTCATATGGTCTGAAGTTACAGAAGGTTGGAGCTGGAAAGAAGCCTTGAGACCAGCAGGTCCAGTGAATGCTGAGGTGGGAAATCCTCATGCTGCCTGATAGCCTTGCACTCTGGAAGTCACCGCCCTGTAACTCTTAACTTTGAGGAGATTCTGCTCCCTGGACTTATTAACCAAATTGCCTCCTCCTGGTGTCACCTTCGAATAGCTGAGCCAGCGGAGTATGCCTGTGTGGGAGAACCCCAACTCTCCTCACTGCCATTCATTCTTTCATTCATTCACCAAATTTTACTTTGTCCCTGCAACTGAGTCAGGCACTACACTAGGCACTTGGAATACATCAATGAATACAACCGATCAATACAACAGATCAAGACTCTGCCTTCAAGAAGCTGACAATCTAGCAGAGGAAAAGACACTAAACAATAGACATGAAAAATAAGTAACGTGTGTAGTAATTTAGAGGGTGGTATGTGCCATGGAGAAAGAAGAAGAAGTAGAAAGTAAGGAGAATCAGGAGTGTCCAGGGCAGCCTGCAGTTTTAAGTAGGGTGACCATGGACGTCCTCATTGGGAAGGTGACGTCTGAGCAAAGGCATGATAGGTTCATCGGACGGACAATGGGTCTCTGAGGGAGGAGAGTCCTGGGAAGAGGGCGCAGGCTGCCAGGCAGGATCATACCTGACAAGTCTGAGGATAGATGGCAGGGAACAATGGTGGAGGCGGAGAGACCAGTTAGGAGGCTGTGCACGGTCCAGGTGAGAGATGATGATGGCTCCCACAAGCGTGGAGACGGTGGTGGTGGTCAGAAGGGGTAGGATACTGGGGACATTTTGGACATAGAGTACACAGGATTTCCTGATGGCTTAGATGCGGAATACAAGAAAAAGAAAAGAAATCAGTGCGACTCTGAAATGGTTGACCTGAGCAACTAGAAGGATGGCAACTCCATCCTGAGCTGGAGAATGGTGGGAGTGCAACAAGTTTGGGAGAGAAGATGAGGAGTTTAGTTTTGAACAAGTTGCATTTGAGATGTGTATTGGACATGCAAGCGGGGATGTCAGGTAGACAGTCAGGGATGGAAGTCTGGGCTTAGAAGAGAGGTCTGGAGACACGCACATGGGAGTCCCTGGCATAAAAGACAGCACAATACCATCAAGGGAGTGCCCAGTGGCAGAGGGTCCTTCAGGTCCTTCATGACCACTTCAGAAACATGCTTTGGCTGCCATGTTTCAGGATGGTCGAATGGTCAATGAGCACACTAATATACTCCTCTCCCTCTCCAAATCCACCAAATATTAATTTTTGTCATTTATTGGTGACTGACCTAATAGTTCCACATGTATTATCTCAGCCCATCCCAAAATAACCAGTGAGGGAGCTGTATTATGCCCATTTTATAGAGGAGGACACCAAGACCCTGCACACACAGTTGTTCAAGACCACAGAATGATAAACGATGAAGCCAGGTTTCACACTCAGGAAGCCAACTCTTAACTGCTATGTTGTATGGGAGTATGTGCTCTAGAGAATCTGTACCTTAGCAATAACAATAAATCCAAAAGAGAAAATGACCCACATCCAAGAAAACGTGGGACTCAGGTGTGCAGTGAAAAAATCCTAAGCTGACAACAGCATAGCAGCCCTAGAAAGTAACTGGTCCAAAGACAGAGGGCTCTGTGAAGATTGTGTTCAGAAAGCAAGCCACTTCTCCTATGCAAATTATATGAATAAGAGCTCAAAATAAATATCCTAGGCAGGTCGTAGTTAATTCTAAACAATAAGATGAAGATATGTGATTCTCCAATAACAACAAGTAAAATGACAGTTAGAAACCTCGGGAAAAACCCAGTCTAAGAAAGTCATGGTTCAAATTTGGTGCAAACTAAACTGTGGGATAATTGTGAGTAAACAACAAGAGTGGAAGGAAATAGGACTTCATTCACAGAACATTCTCCTTTGAGGGGCCAAGGTTTAATTACATGTTACTTTCTTTCCTTTTCTGTGGGCCTAATCACAACACTTGGTTCTGCAGTGAATAGTATTTACATAATGATAATGCCGTAAATACTATTTAAGGGGCTTCAGTTTTCAGAATCAACCCAAAGCATAGAACACTTAATTACGGTTACTTTAGCATTTAACTGCTATAAACATGCTCAATATAAAAATGATAGTATGTATGGCTGACAGAAATCTGGAGGAGGAGAGCAGAGGGATTTCCTTGTTTCGTGTAGTGGAAAATCAGTAGATTTTGTCTAAAGGTGATACATCAAGAAATAGAGATTTAAGTACACTCTTAAATCGTATATCTAACCACTGGAAAACCTAGTAACATTACAGATCAAAACCAGGAAGTAGAGGGGGCAGGAAGAAAGGAAGCCCATATAATGCCCTAAATTCTTTCCCTTTCCTGCAAGGTAGTTAATAGATACTACCTAAAGTTGGTAAATCAAGAATTTACATAGGGCTTCCCTGGTGGCACAGTGGTTGGGAGTCCGCCTGCCGATGCAGGGGACATGGGTTCGTGCCCCGGTCCGGGAAGATCCCACAGGCCGCGGAGTGGCTGGGCCCGTGAGCCATGGCCGCTGAGCCTGCGGGTCTGGAGCCTGTGCTCCCTCGCAGGAGGGGCCACAACAGTGAGAGGCCCGTGTACAGGAAAAAAAAAAAAAAAAGATTTTACATATATTGCCATGTTATTTACATTTGTGTGCTAATAACCAGATGACTCAGAAATTGTTCATTGCAGTAGTAAATGTGGAACAATAAGGAAGAGAAATTTTAGTTTTTTTAAATTGAATGCCTTTATCTATTGTTTGAGTTTTAAACACGAGCATGTATTCTTTACACATGAATATGTCTATTTAGTATGGAGGTCATTACGGCACACTGAAAATTCAAAGTAAAGCCGTAGTTGTAACTAGTGACCACTAGTTATCACTGGTTTCCTGGCTGGTGCCAGGCCTGGGAGCAGAGTTCCCAGTAACAACCTGGGGGAGCTGCCTCCTGTCTCCTCGGGGCCTGGATAGGGAAGGAGGACAGAGGGAGGCAGCAGCTGGAGGCCAGTGGCTTTGCCAGCAGTAGGAGCTGGCATTCTGTGCACAACCAGTGGTGCCTCAGACATGGGCAGCCTCAGGTTGGAGAGTGGGGAGCACACAACTCCCCTGTGTGATGGGGGTCCTTTCTGGGCCAACGAATTCAGCACTGCTGATAGGGGAACAGGGATGCAGAGGGACAAGTAGATGTCCTGATTGTTCGCTCTCAGCTGCTGCCTAAATACAACCCATGGTCTTTCTGTCCATCCTTAGCCTCTATGCACATTCCGCTCACGCACCCAGCCACCCCCAACACACACACGCACACGCACACACACACACACACACACACACACACACACACACACCTATCAGTGGCAAATAAGAGCTTTAGCATCAAAAGGTTGGCACAGACTGCTCTTCAGGCAGCTTAGGTCGTAGACTGCCGGTGCCGTGAAGGAAGATAGACCGCGGGACTTCAATACTCAGGCTCGCCACCAGGAGGAGCTTTACTAACATTTAGGTGAGTTTGTGCGGAAATGTTTTTAGATGAGTTATTTAAGTCACAAAAAATAATTAGGGTAAAAACAAAAGGTGATTTGGAAATGTTCACAGGTTGATACAAACAATTCAGCAGTAAAGTTATCAAACTTTTAAAGTGCATGGTATTCAAGGACTTGTTTTTAATGCTGAAAAGATAATTGTGGCGTCAAGGGAACAATTTCACTGGTCTTTTCCAACAGCGACAAAAAACTTTTTAAGTAATTTCTGAATTTTTAAAAATTAAAACCTAAACCCAATGTAGTGATTTTGTAATTTGGTAATCACTTTGTAGTGATTTGGTAATTACTGTCTTCCACCTTGCAAACAAACTCTGCCCCATCTCCAGCTCCCACTAAGGGTGAAAAAATACACCTGAGACTTTTGGCCATGACCCCCACCCGGTCTCCCCTTTCTTATGTTGTCAGCTACCCCAGTG